CCGACAGGTGAAAGTCGAGCTTCCAGAAGAAACTGGAGCTATAAAAGACGATGTGGAAGTGAGAGATGTGGCTTCTGAAGAATCAAAGGATGAAGAAATGAAGGAAGTAACTAACAAACTGCCTGAGAAAGATCAAGAAATGATGGATGAACCATCTAATGGGATTAACGAAAAAGAACGAAAACATGAAGAAATAAAAGACAGTAAGGAAGCTTTTGATTCTCAAGCGCCTGAAATGGAAGTGGAAGAAAGTGAAAATGCGACTGTTAAGTTCCACAAAGCTGACAGTGAAATTATGAAGTCGCAGTTAGCAAGAATTGAATCATCTGAAAGTGCATGTGATGCAAAGATGAAAGAAGATGATGTACAGCTGAAGCAGTGTGCTCCAGTATTGCAAGAAAATTCACCCACCTCACAAACTATGTGTGTGTCTCATAGTGCTGACTGTGCAGACAAGGACTTGATTCTAAACTGGATACTTGTGTTTGTGAAGACTTAGGTTCTGTTCATGACTCTGATGCAGAATTTGCAGGTTCCCAGGAAAAGAAGGAAAATAAGCATGTACCATCTGCTAAAAATACTAAGGTGAATTGTATACATGATGCGAATAAACCACAGAGTGGTGAACGAACTGATTTAGATCTTCCAATGGATGAAAAGTCTGAATGGACTGAATCTTCAGACTGTGATCTGAAAAACATGAATACACCTGGAAAAGTGTTTGACCCGGGTATCACTTAATGAGAAGACTGAGATTTAAATTCATTTTGAACTTTAATTTGTATAATTTAAAATTGTTATGTGTTTAATTTGTGTATATAACTTGTATGTAGTGTAGATATTTGTTTCTTTAGTTATGTTACTTGCCTGTTTTATTATGTTTCGTTCGTATCGAATTTGGCTTCTGACCAAGGGTTATACTGCCCGGAACGTGCAGTCCTTGGAAGGGGCCAGTGTTATGAAATGTACAGGTGCGGTGAGATAGCTTCCCCACAAAACAGTTTTAAAGTTACCATAAAATGGCAAGGTAGACAGGGTTGCCACATTTGGCAAGAAATCGTCCATTTGGCGATATATCATGGACGGATGGAGAACCTTCTGGAACGAATTCTTATCGGTTTAGCCCAGAATGTTCTTGAACACAAGCCGAAAGCTATATAAATCCTGCTGGTCCGCAGTCAAGTAGAGTGTGCCTCGTTGAGAGGGCAAGTGAGAGTGCCTTGCCGAGTATGAGATAGTTAGTATCAAGTTGGTGTCTTGTCTAGCGAGTCAGTCTCTGAGGAAGCGATCGAGTTGACAGCCGAACAGCGAGTGCCGAGTGGGTCGTCGATTGCACCGAAAGAGTCTATAGTCGTCGTCGAGAGAGCGTGTTCAGCTTCAGGAACAACTGAACCGAAGAGTCGGGAGCTGTGTTCTGTGTGTCGTCTAGTGCATCGCGAGTTGTAGCGTGGAGAGTCTCGAGAGTACATGGAGTTCCAAGAGCGACCAAGCACAGTCAGGAGCTGTACTCTAGTGCTTAGTGCTTTGCCGTGAAGCTGTCTCCACCATGATAGCCTGATAACCTGGAGACTGTGTCGCTGATCGTGTCAGCGTGTTTATAGTAGTTCATCGACAACTGTAAAAAGTGTTTTGGAGCTGTCTTGACAATACTGGCCAATAAAGTGTGTTTTGATACTGTATCGAGTAGTGTCGTCGTAATTCCCTCCAAATCTACACGAACCCATAAAGAACGTACCGAAGGAAGAAAATAACAACAACTGGTGTCAGAAAAAAAAAAGTAACAATATATTCACATGAAAGCTTTTCTAGGTATACTTATTGTGGATCATGTGTCCACTTCTATAATAATCATAGATGGTCTCATGAAAACGCAAAATAAAAGGGCACCAGATGTCATTGTTTGAATCATTTATTAGCATTACATCATACATATTTTAACTATGAATAAGAATTGTTTATTTCACTTAAATAAGTAATTATTGAGCCAAAAATTTCCATGCTTATTCTTGTATTTGATATGTGGCACCTACGTTTGCAAGTTAGCAGAAATGAAAACTATAAAAATTGAGGAAACGGTGATTGATTTATTATTTCATACCCAAAGGAAAATGCATATGAACACAACAGAAGTATCAATCATTACCTCAACTACATTCTAAAGTTAGATCAAAGACTTAAATGGATTTAAAAAATATAACTCAGAAACATTTTAATGTTTATGATGATTTTCAGATAATTTCAATTGTTTTGGAAAAGAAATTACTTTTAATGATTTACAGGCATTGGCTGATACTATCAGCAAGCCTTGGTGGAGACCTGAATAATTTTTCTGCCTATTTTAGCAGCTTCTAATTCATTTCCTGTTTTAACAAATACACTCTATTCCTAACAATGCACCCACTTCCATCTAGTTTTTTTTTTAATTTTGTTTCTTCATTTCTTACAACAATGCATAGTTGTCAGAGATAAATTTTTCAATCTTTCAAGGTTTTATCTACCATACTGAGTCTTTACCAGGATTTAACTGAAGTCCACTAATAGTCAATTAATCCTTCCACCAACAGTAAATTAATCATAAATTTCATCTAAATACCTTTCAACTAATTTTCTGCTTTTATTGTTGTGATTTATCTAAGCTTATCACTACTATTTGGATGAGAAACACAAAAATGCAGAATTTAAAATTAGACAAAAAAGCAATCTTAGATTTTAAATAAAACTCTATAGTTTCAAAAGCAAGCAAATACAGATCTCTCTTCCTCAGGAGCAAAATATTTCTGCCAAAAAGTCGTTCTAGACCAGTGATTCAAAAGATTTTATGTTTTGCATATTCCTTAAAAAGCTACTGTAATTATAGAGCACCCTTAACCTCTCCCTTCAGAACTTCTTGGCAATCTCAGAGATTTATAATTAAAAATAATTTAGCCTTTAGTGGAGGTGGTCATCTTAGAGAAGACATTTTCAGTATTAATATCATTCACGTTCTAAGGAATGTAAGCCATTCAGACTAGTCATCATGACAAGTTTCACTGTATTTTCATAAATATATCTGTGCTATTTTCATTAACTTATTCTATAAATGTTCAGTAACTAACTTATTACACAAACTTGTATCTATCACATTTACACAAAAATATAAGGTTTATAAAGAAAGTAATGTTTTTTCAAAATAAATTTTTTAAATATCTACGTCTTATAAAGAAGTTTAATTAGCCAATAATATATTGTCTCTTGTTTTCTACAACCATCTTCTATCTTTCTAGCAGCTAAACCCATTCTTACAGAAATATTTTCATTTTGAATCGAGAAACTGACAGACCGCTTGATAGACATCATTGTGATTTTTAAATTTTCTGCATTCAAGAAAGTATTGCCCAGATATTAATCTGATGGGGCAAAATCTCATAAAGAAGGTGGGTGAGAAAGAATTTCCCAGTTTAACTCCTGGATTTTTGTTTGATCATCCTAACACTACATAGTTGAGCATTGTTATTGCTAGAAGTTTACTTGTCTTCTGCTGAACAATGCTGGATGTTTGATGACAAATTTTGTAACAAATGCTTGTGATGATGGCAATATATTCTAGAACTGATGCTCTGGTTCATTTCCAAGAGCTCAAAAGTAAACAATATCTTCCATATCCTACCACATGCTGAACATAATTTTCTTTAGATGAAGATTAGGTTTAGTTGCTGGAAGTAGTTTTTAGCAAAGACTTAACCATTATTTCTTGCATTAAATGATAACATAAAGACTTTTTTTTATTACAGGTGCTGATATGACTAAAAAATGGGTCATCCTTTTGCCCTCTCAAAAGAAAGACCAATGGTCAAGCATTGGTGCATGCTCTCAGCTGACAGTTCAATAAATAGCTAATACAGCTACTGAACTGTCAGCTGATATTAAATTTCCATTTCTGTTTATCTTTTCAAGTTCATATAGATTATTTAGTATAGCACTGTGTGCTATACTATGTGCTATATTGTGTGACTCTCTATCATGATGGCCTTTTATCAATGAACAAAGGGATTAACTTCACCACAGCTGCTAGCTAGTCATTACCCACTTTTTGATGGTCTGTCCCATTTTAGTCACTAAGGTCATAATCATTCAGTCTAAAGTTTAAAACCAATGACAAGCTCGACCTAAGGATGTCAGCATAAGCATATCAGATACTTCTATTGGTACTTACGTATTAACACAACCATACTCGCAAACATTTAAAAGATGAAACATAAAAGTTACTTATCAGGTGCAAGTTAGTTGTTTTTCACAGCATTTTTTTAAACAAAATTTCCAAACTATTGATATTTATTGTAAGACAGCAAACATTATCAACATATGAAAAGAAAACATACTTTAGCAATTTAAAATACAAATTTTAGTAATTAAACATGGATTATGTGATACATTAAAAAATAAAATACATTTATCTTCAAATCATTATGTAATTTTTTCCTATTATTCTTTATAAATATACAGTAATCTGCTTTCACTTAACATCAGATAATTGCAGAAACTCGGCTTCATACAAACCTCAGCAGTACTGGCTATTTACCAAATGCATTTCCTTGTTGTTCACTTTAGAGATTTTTGTGGCAAAATTCTGTATTCCTGTAGAAATCTTACCATAATTTTTTCCATTGCTGGCAAATCCCAAAAGCATAAATTTTAAAATTATGTTTAAGGCAAAAAAAAAAAAAAAAAAAAAAAAAAAAATCCCAATTTGTTTATAACGTCTGTTGGAAGTAGGAATACAATAAAAATGGTGATGTTGCCTGACTGATGGATTTGCGAAAAATTGTTATGCGTATGATTTCCAGAGTTTGGCATATTCAGAAAATTTGGTAACTTCCACAAAGGTGGTTATGATAACAAGCAAGACCCCCAAAATCTTATAGTCATTTCTTTCTTTACGACCTCATTTGGAGGAAAATAACTACTGAAATTTTAAATGGAAATTTACAAATATATAATTCATTATGAAAAAATGGTTATACCTGGGTTTCATTTCCATACATTTCATCTGCATATTCATTTAATAAATTATATGCCTCCTTAACACACTTATGTTCATTATTACCAGTTATTAAAAAGCCTCTTAGTCCAGATTCCAAAATTCCAGATTTATGCTTTTTAGGGGCCTGAAAATACTTTTTCTTATTCTTGCGTTTTGTTCTTTGAGAAGGCGCTGACATTCTACAGAAAAAAAGAAAAAAAAAGTTATAATACTTAATAAAAAAATTAAATTACATACAAAAATAGGCACAGCTTTTTAAAATAAAAGTATACAGTATGATTCAAAATTCCTCTAGTGCTTTAAAGACAGAACAGGTATGTAACAAATTAAATTTATACATGGATATATATCTAAGGAAATGCCATGCAGAGGTGTTACAAGCAACCAAATAAGAAGATTGATCTTATGAGATTACAGGAAAGCTTCGAGGGCCATTTGCCTGAGAGGAGGGATACCTTCGTGGAGGACTTTTGAAAGAAAACTGGCTTACATACACGTTATATTTTCTTAAACATTCATTTTATGAAAATATAAATTTTAAAAATGGGTAGGGAGGGGTTAAAATGATCATCAAAACATCTTTCCAGCACAATACAGTACAAAGTCTGAAATCCAGACACCAATCGAGTAAGTATATAAACAAACACAACAAACCAAATTAAAATAACAAGAAAATGCCCTTCCTTGTATACAAAGTCTAGGAATGGAAGCATAATACTCAACAAAAGAAGGCAAGTGTGCCACAATCGGATTCTCCCCCCCCCCCAATTAATTGAAATTCTTTGCAGAGTTAGTATTTTTCTATTTGACCTAAGCAATAAGGTCAATACATAATTCCCAATGTCTACATGTCATTTTAGATTTACACTGATGATCTAAAACCTTGACGATTCTGAATCTTGGACTTTGTAGTGTATAACCACTTTAGTTAACACTTCTCATGCTCGTATCTAAAACTTATAATTTTTTAAGTACTAATCATTTCTAGATGGGCAGCTCCTTACCTAAAATCTTGCAATAAATATTTCTCTAATAATTTTTTTTAGATCTTTGAAGCCAAAATAACAATCTTAATGAATTAAAGTTATCAAGGAAAGCAGTTTTAAAAGTTTCACCACGTGTCATTACTTTTGAAGATTACCTTCATTTGATTTTTAAAAAATTGCAAAATTTATGACTTAGTTAGCATAAAGGAGTTTGTACTTTCATTTAAAGAAAACAATTTTAATCAGTTGTGAACAGTTGCCATGTATATGTGGCAGATCATCCATACAGTTATGTCAAGTAGAACTACCTTGGTTGTAGCCCCCCAGTTGGTAAAGTAGTCACAGAAGCTGACTGCGATGCCGAAGGGCCTGGGTTCGAATCCCGGAGAAGACATGGATGTAACTGTCTGTCCCTTCATAGGAAAGGCAATGGTGGCCCACCTATTAGGTGCCTTCATAATAAAGAGACCACCACATCCGGCCTTGTATAAATTAATGGACTGGATTACGTTTGTAATTGTTCAGAATCTGCCATTGGAGGGGGGGGGAAATCTCCTTGGCTGCAAATGGTTAATTACAATAATACAGCCTTCAATTTCAAGTGAAAAGATAAATCTGAAGCAATATCTTGAATTCTTAGATAAGCAGATTATTTCAAAAGTAGCCTACAGAATTTTTTTTTTTTTTTTTTTTTTTCTTTTCTTCAATAAAGACTTCTGCCAATTTCTTGGTAAATTTTCTATGACTAAGTGTTTCTACAAGTTTACAATTATAACCATAGGATGACAAATTAAGATAGTTGGCACTTCACTTCACAATTATGAATAATGCCCTGTTAATCGAAAAGTATTTGCAATTTCAATAAAACAGAGAAATTACCTGCATCAAAATATAATTGTTCTACAAAATTTTCAAACGATTCCATTCAACTAGAAATACACAACTTTTAAAAAAAGTTAGAAATCAATGTAAATTAACAATTTACAATATGTAAATTTAACTAGATTTGGCATGCAACTGTTTTATGACTTTAAAAAATGTGAAAATGTTTCTAAATTTTCTGAGAAAGTTCATTTTTTGGCTATCAAAATCTTTTTTTTTTTTTTTTTTTTTTTTTTTTTTTTTTTTTTTTTTTTTTTAATGTTATGAAGACAGTTTTAGCTGCTGACTTCATCTGATATTCTTCTTTAACCCAACAGCCAGTTTAGACTGCTCAGGTACCCATCGAAGAACTTTTGCATCTACTAAATAACACATATCCTGAATTATATCAAAACTGTTAAGGATGCTTATTTAAAAATAGGGTAAGGCCACTTATTAAATAACTATTGGAATTATTATTAAGAAAATAATTAAATACATGACTTTTTTCAGCCGTATATTTCCATGTACAGTACAAAGTCCGAGATTTGGACGTCCATTATGTGGAATGATCTAAAATCCGGACCTCAAAACCACCAACATTTTTAGTAAGCTTTATGCATGTGCATTAGATTCCCCCCTCCACACATAATAAAACATCTGGAGAGTTCCGATTCTTAATTTTACTTCGACACTAAATAAAAATATCTTGTTATTGAAGAAACAATCATTTTAGCATAAATTTGTACGATCAGTAATTTGGCTCCGTTGCTGTGTATCTGCTTGGCACACATCTCAAACCGAAAAATTCCATATAGACATATCGTTGATCTGACGCCAACCTGATGAATCATTATTTATTATACTTTCCTTTCATCACTGCATATTTATCAAAACATGACAACTTGAGTAATGACTCATGTAGCGATGCCTAAACAATTTTTTTTTTTTTTTTGTTACTAGTTGAATAATAAAGAAGTATGGTAACCTTTTATGTTGACGTTACGCTTGGTGATGTTTTACAGATTTAAGTTAAATGCACTAAAAACTGTTGACGAGGAAAAATTTACTAAAAATGTCTTTCCATATGCTAAAAATAGATTTTGTTGATGATACTCATAGACCCAAAGATTACATTTATGGCTATTTGAATTAAGAATAAGTGATCTGTTATTCACACAAACCCAGAACCAGCGCCAAGGCTCGTATGGCCGCACCAGGCCGAAAATTCAGGACCCACAGAAACTGCAACAGGCGGTAAGATATCTAGCACTGGCCCTCAATAAGGCTTAAGTATATGTGGGAATTTATTTATTCAGAACTCTGATAAGCCTTAAGCATGTGCAAGAAATAGACATAAGCATAATAAATAACTAAACTACTACAATTCAGGCTTAATTGTCTCAGTGCACAATAGAAGCAAGATAAAATTTAACTGAACAACATGTCGTTAGTCGCCAAGCTCATGATGCATAACCAAATATGTATAGTGAACAATAGCTAACATGATGCATAACCAAATATGTATAGTGAACAACAGCTAAATTTGATGATGATAGCTACAAATTTTAAGGGTTTTCGAATATCACAAAACAAAGGTGAAATTTCCAATTAACGGATTTTGTAAAGAAATGTGGAGAAGCGGTAACAAATGAAGATGATATAAAAGAAGTTTTTAATTGTGATGTTAATGCTTCTCAATTATCAATCAATTAATGAATGGTGAAATCTACAGCATGGTTCTAGATCCAGAAAATATCATTACAGATAGTGAAGAAAGTGACAGAGAAGTTACTGAAAACGAGAAAATTTCGATTGACAAGTTAGTCAAAATTATCGAAACGGCAGTTACAGGACTTCAACAATGTAACTCAACAAGAGATTATGTCTATCTACAGAATTAAAGAGAAAGTATTAGCACAAAAAACAAAGCAACTTATACAACTTAGATTAAAAGAAATGTTGAATGAAGTAAACAAATAAATATTAAGCCTTTTTTTTTTTTTTTTTTTTTTGTAAATTTATGGCTGTTGTTGATGGATGCCATTTTTAATTGCACGTTGAATGTTAACAAAATCTGACTCGGTAATATTAACATTTATATTTAATTCTAGGATGATATATATTTTAACATATATTCACTTATACACAATCACATTGCATGTAGTTACAAGATGAGCATTTTTTCAGTTTGCAAGTCCGCATGAGTAAAAATCAAGAAAGTCATATTACAGCTACGATAACATCACGGAGGGATAGAGAGGTGAGTGCGTGCTTCACCGATGGCAGCCAGGAACCAAGTAACCAGTTCGAATTTTCCTCCAGAGAGGAAGAGGGAGAAAGCTGGTAGCGCCCTCTCTCGGGGCAGCGGACAAATAATAATCATAAAGAGTTCTCCACAGTATTCCCCCCCCCCGAGTAACCAAAGGTATGATGAAAAAATTCAGTTCACAAATATCTGGTTTTGAAGCGCACACGTCTTCCCGATCGTGTGACGACTAGTGGAGCACTGGGAGGAAGCGTAAGGTCGGTCGAAGGAGGAGTATCCGGAGTAGCAGTTGGATCCGGGGCGTCAGGAGGATCCCTGGTCACAGGAACCTGAGTGTTTGGAGCTTCAAAGAAAGCAGGCTTCAGATGAACTATGCTCAGGACAGTTTCCTTGTCGTGCACGAGAACAGTGAAATGCTTATTATTATGCACAGACCTTGAAGGGTCCATCGTATGGAGGAGTGAGTGGTGGTTTGACCGTTTCGCACAAACACATGAGTGCAAGTGTTCAGTGTGTGGTGCACGAAAGGGGCAGATTTGTTGTGGCACGAAGTAGGAGTCGGAGACAGCTTCTTCATCGCCTCTCGGAAAGTCTGGACAAAGGATGCTGGATCGACTGGAGCAGAGGATGGCTGAAAGAACTCAGATGGTAATCGAAGGGGGTGTGCCGTAGACAAGTTCAGCGGATGTACCTGCGAGGTCTTGCTTGAAAGAAGAACGCAAACCAAGAAGCACAAGAGGAAGTGAAGTAGTCCAACGGGTGTCATTACGGCACTTCAGGGCTGCTTTCAGGTCGCGATGTAAAGCGTTCCACTAAGCCGTTGGCGGAAGGATGATGGTATGGTGAAGTGCGAATTCGGCGTATTCCAAGCATAGATGTCAGAGAAGCGAAAAAGGTGTGACTGGAATTGTCGACCTTGATCAGTAGTCACAACTGATGGTACACCAAATCGTGCAATCCAACCGGTGATGAATTGTCGAGCCACAGAGTCAGCAGAGATGTCCTGAATGGGAAAAGCTTCAGGCCAACGAGTAAATCTGTCAATGCAGGTGAGTAGATATC